TAGAAGTTACAATATAAGGAAGCATTAGAAGCTGGAAAGCTTACTGCTGCGACTAACTGTGTCTTACTGTGACTAACTGTGATTACTGACTGTGAGTGCCTGTGACTGAACTGTTCTTGTTTGCTACTGTTTGCTGATTTACTGCGTAATTCTACTGTTCTACTGTTTGAACGTCTTGCTGAATATCCAGCGTTTGTTCCTCTGGAGAGAGGCACCGGAGGAGGAGAAGATATCTTTATCGGCTGATAAAGATATTGCAAGGACTCTTAACTTGGACTGTAATAGTGAGTCTTACTGGATGGAAATATAGTGAATGACTATTGGACTGAATGACAATGCTTTAAACTCTAAATGGATTAAAAACTATTTAAACTACAAACAGTGTTTGTGTTCAGTGTGTGTATACTCTGGGGCCCTTCCTGGCTTGACTACTGCTGCAATACTCTGCTAGGGGTTAATCCCCAAACCCTAACAATGACTGTAAATTTATTAAAAAGAAAAAACAAATATCACATTGGCATAACTATTCAGACCCTCACTCAGTATTGGTAGCAATTATAGCCTCAAGTCTTTTTGGGTATAACTTGACAAGCTTTGCACACCTGGATTGGAGGATTTTCTGCCATTCTTCCTTGCAAATCCTCACAAGCTCAGTCAGGTTGAATGGTGACCATCGGTGGACAGCAATTTTCAGGTCCCTCCAGAGATGTTCAATAGGGTTCAAGTCAGGGCTCTGGCTAGGCCACTCTAGGACATTCACAGAGTTGTTCCTAAGCCACTCCTGGTGTTGTGTCTTGGCTGTGTGCTTAGAATTGTTGCCATGTTGGAAAGTGAATTTTCGGCCTAGTCTGAGGATATCCCTGTACTTTGTTCCATTCAGCTTTCCCTCAACCCTGACCAGTCTAGAGGGGGCGGGGCTGACATCACGGCGAGATGATGGGCGTTTCAGGAGCTCCCGGAGATCCGTCAAAATCCCCGCAGCTGGACGGTCCATTTGGACCCGAACCATCCCGGAGAGACGGTGGAAGAGGAGAGTGCATCCTGCTGATCCCAGGGAAACTGCAAAGTCCCTGGTTGATCCAGGAAAAGCTCTCTAATCTGGCTGCGGAGGAAAGCAGCCATTTAAAAGCTGCTGAAAGGTTGGGACAGCTCTGGAACGGTAGAAGATACAGAAAGAAAGCATGTCGCTTTTGCGTGAGACTTTTTAATTTTTTTCTGGCTAAGAATGAAAGAGTACCCTAAGGGCGAAAAGATTTTAAGAAGATAGAAGACAGAAGAGAAAATAAGCAGCGAAATTGACCATATCTTTAACTGTCAAACTTAATTAAGACTATTTTTCTGTGCTTTAACAAGAGATTAGCTTTTAACTGGACTGGACTTTATAAAAACTAAAGGAAGACAAACTTTTAATTCTTACTTTAAATATAGAATTTGGACTTTTTTTCCCTTTTTACTTTTTAAAAGTGAACTTTGCTAGAAACTTTTTTGTTACAATCTAATAAAGTAGTGAAAGTGAAGCAACAGTGCCACCTAGAGGCTACAAAGAAAAAAGCTGAAGAGATTAAACATTTGAGAAAATTATTTCAGTTACAGGCTGTTTAGACTCAAGAGAAGATAGAGAGCTGAGCACTGAATAATAATTGCTTAAACAGGTGTTGCTCTCGCAAAACAATCTAAACAGCTGGAGATTGAAGTGGAAAGAGTAAAGACTACTGTGACCTTGGATTATATCTTGTTGATATTTTGACTGGCTCTTTGGATACTATACATGGTGGCTGGGATTTGCTTTGTGACCTATATTTAAAATTACAACTGACTATTTTCAATTGGGTTTTTTTTTTGGTTGCTGGTATCTCTTCTGGGCCATTTTTGCTTTTCCACAACCATTTTTTTTTGCTTTAGCCTTTTTATTGGAATATAACTTTTTCTTTTTTTCTTTTTCCCTTCATTTATAAATACTACCAGTGGATTACTTTTTCTTATTGTTAAATTACAGGCATTTACAGATGATCTGGTCTTTATACTAGAAGAACCATTGGAAACAGCTTCTAAACTGATAGAAAGGATAGAAGAATATGGAGAGGTTGCAGGACTGAAAATAAATAAAGAAAAAACTAAGATTTTAGTGAAGAATATAATGGAAAAATAAAGGAAAGTATTGATGGACAGACTAAATATCCAGATCACAAAAAAGTGAAATACTTGGGAATACAATTGACAGCAAGATGTGGAACACTTAAGGAAGATAATTATTACAAACTAAAAGAACAGATTGTGACAGACTTGGGAAAATCTACAACTATCCTTAATAGGAAGAATATCTACAATTAAAATGAATATACTACCAAGGATAATATACTTGTTTCAGACGATTCCAATAAGATTAGGGAAAGAATATTTTGAGGATCTAAATAAAATGATGTTGAAATATATATGGCAGGGAAAGAAGACAAGAATTAAACTAAAACTATTACAGGACACTAGAATGAGAGGATGCTTTGGACTACCCAATTGGAAATTATATTATCAGGCAGCAATACTCATGTGGATGAAAGAATGGATTGTTTTGAGAAATGCTAGACTGTTAATATTGGAAGGTCATGAACTGCAATTGGCATGCATTTTTATGGAATAAGGAAAGTAAAGCGCATGGGTACTTTTGGAAACATTGTATTCGAGATGCTTTATTATCAACATGGGAGAAAATAAAGGAAGAACATTATTTGAAAATACCAGTCTGGTTATTAACAATAGAGGCATTTGCGTATCCAAATGTTTTTAAAATGGAACATATTGTTAGATATAATGAAATTTTAAATGAAACGAGTGAACTCAAAACAAAGCAAGAACTAGATGAATAAGGGATAAATATGAATTGGTATTCATATATGCAAATACATTCTACAGGTGAAACTCAAAAAATTAGAATATCATGCAAAAGTTCATTTATTTCAGTAATGCAACTTAAAAGGTGAAACTAATATATGAGATAGACTCATTACATGCAAAGCAACATAGTTCAAGCCGTGATGTGTCATAATTGAGATGATTATGGCTTACAGCTCATGAAAACCCCAAATCCACCATCTCAGAAAATTAGAATATTGTGAAAAGGTTCAATATGCTAGGCTCAGAGTGTCCCACTCTAATCAGCTAATTAAGCCATAACACCTGCAAAGGGTTCCTGAGCCTTTAAATGGTCTCTCAGTCTGGTTCAGTAGGACTCACAATCATGGGAAAGACTGCTGACCCGACAGTTGTGCAGAAAACCATCATTGACACCCTCCATAAGGAGGGAAAGCCTCAAAAGGTAATTAATTGCAAAAGAAGTTGGATGTTCCCAAAGTGCTGTATCAAAGCACATTAATAGAAAGTTATGTGGAAGGGGAAAGTGTGGAAGAAAAAGGTGCACAAGCAGCAGGGATGACTGCAGTCTGGAGATGATTGTCAGGAAAAGGCCATTCAAAAGTGTTGGGGACTTTCACAAGGAGTGGACTGAGGCTGGAGTCAGTGCATCAAGAGCCACCACACACAGACGGATCCTGGACATGGGCTTCAAATGTCGTATTCTTCTTGTCAAGCTGCTCCTGAACAACAAACGTCAGAAGCGTGTTACCTGGGCTAAAGAAAAACAGGACTGGTCTGTTGCTCAGTGGTCCAAAGTCCTCTTTTCTGATGAGAGCAACTTTTGCATCTCATTTGGAAACCAAGGACCCAGAGTCTGGAGGAAGAATGGAGAGGCACACACTGCAAGATGCTTGAAGTCCAGTGTGAAGTTTCCACAGTCTGTGTTGATTTGGGGAGCCGTGTCATCTGCTGGTGTTGGTCCACTGTGCTTCATTAAGTCCAGGGTCAACACAGCCGTCTACCAGGAGGTTTTGGAGCACTTCATGCTTCCTTCCGCAGTTGAGCTTTATGCTGACTTCGTTTTCCAGCAGGACTTGGCACCTGCCCACACTGCCAAAGGCACCAAAACCTGGTTCAATGACCGTGGGATTACTGTGCTTGATTGGCCAGCAAACTTACCTGACCTGAATCCCATAGAGAATCTATGGGGCATTGCCAAGAGAAAGATGAGAGACGTGAGACCGAACAATGCAGAAGAGCTGAAGGCCGCTATTGAAGCATCCTGGTCTTCCATAACACTTCAGCAGTGCCACAGGCTGATAGCTTCCATGCCACGCCGCATTGAGGCAGTAATTGCTGCAAAAGGGGCCCAAACCAAGTACTGAGTACATATGCATGCTTATACTTTTCAGAGGTCCAATATTGTTCTATATACAATCCTTGTTTTATCGATTGCATGTAATATTCTAATTTTCTGAGATTGTGAATTTGGGGTTTTCATGAGCTGTAAGCCATAATCATCACAATTATGACACATCACGGCTTGCACTATCTTGCTTTGCATGTAATGAGTCTATCTCATATGTTAGTTTCACCTTTTAAGTTGCATTACTGAAATAAATGAACTTTTGCACGATATTCTAATTTTTCGAGTTTCACCTGTAGATATGAAAAAGTAAGATAGATGGGTTTTTTTAAAGAACTCACTGAATTAGATAAAATCTTAACAGGTACTGAAGAGAGGATGATTTTAAAAAATTATGGTTATTTATTAGGAATGAAATTGGAAGAAGTTAAAGAAACAATGATTGCTTGGGGGGAAATTTTGCATATGGGGTAGATTTAGATAAATGGCAGAAACTATGGACTAGAAACTAGAAACTAACAATGTCAACAGCTTATAAAGAGAATTTGTATAAGATGTTTTACAGATGGCATTTACCCCGCCTCCCCAAGAATAGCAAAGATGTTCAAGGACAACTCAATGAAATGTTGGAAATGTCATCAGATACCTGGATCATATTACCATATGTGGTGGACATGTGCAGAATCTAAAAGATATTGGACTAAAATACACACATGGTTGGAAAAAATGATAAAACAGCATATAGATTTAAAGCATGGGTTATTTTTATTGGAAATTTTACCTGAAAGTTATAGTAAATAAATAAAATACTTGATTATTAATGTTTTAACTGCAGCTAGAATTGTATTTGCTCAAAATTGGAAAAGTGAGAAAATTCCAATGGAGGAGGTGGTGATTAATAATGGAATGTGCAGAAATGAGTAGACTAACATTTGCAATTAGAGAGCAAGAAGAAAAGGAGTATTATAAGATTTGGGATTTCATCAATGGCTAGATCAGGGGTGGGCAAACTACGGCCCGAGGGCCACATCCGGCCCGTTGGTCTTTTTAATCCGGCCCGCCGAAGATTGGTACAGAATTAAGGTTTGATGTGAATGATTGAATTATTGCATTCATTTGATTTTGACTTGTAAAGACAGGCATTTCGACACCAGGTAGCGGCCCATCTGTCAAATTTTAAAAGTCAATGAGGCCCCCGAGCCAAAAAGTTTGCCCACCCCTGGGCTAGATAGAAGAGTAAGAAACTGAAGTATATTGTAATAGTAGTGATATATTATAATTGAATATTTTCAAATTAGTTATACTATGAATGTAATTTAGTAAGAATTGAGATTTGTTTTTAAAGATAGCCTGGAATTGAAATTAAAACTTTAATGATAGTATGATGGTATAATATGATACAGAATGTTGATTAGAATATGAATGTAGTTAAGAGGAAAGGATTATAGATACTGTGCACATGATATATGTTACCAAACTGACACATTGTACAATTGAAAGGCTTTATTTGTTTTGTTATAAAAATAAACTTTTTCCAAAAAAAACAAAAACCCACTGACCAGTCTCCCAGTCCCTGCTGCTGAAAAACACCCCACCATGATGCTGCCACCACCATGCTTCACCGTTGGGATGATACCGGGCAGGTGATGAGTGTGCCTGGTTTCCTCCAGACATGTTTAGAATTGAGGCTAAACAGTTCAATCTTGCTTTCATCAGACCAGAGAATCTTGTTCCTCAGAGTCTGAGAGTCCTTCAGGTGCTTTTTTGCAAACTCCAAGCGGGCTTTCATGTGTTTTGCACTGAGGAGAGGCTTCTTGGTCACCTCTCTTACTAAGGCCCTTCTCCCCTGATTGTTTGACCAGGAGACCAACTCTTGGAAGGGTCCTGGTTGTGCCAAACCTCTTCCACTTGGTTTATGGAGGTCACTGTACTATTAGGAACCTTCAGGGAAGCAAAAAAATTATTGTAGCCTTCCCCAGATCTGTGTCTTGCAATAATTCTGAGCTCTGCATACACTTCCTTTGACCTCATGGCTTTTGCTCTGCTCCACTATACATTGTCAGCTGTGAGGCCTTATATAGAGAGGTGTGTGCCTTTCCAAATCATGTCCAATCAATTTAATTTACCATGGGTCAACTCCAATCAAGGTGTAGAAACATGTCAGCAACAATCAAGAGAAATGGGGGGCACCTGAGCTAAATATCAAATGTTAGAATAGATCAAGGGTCTTCAAACTTGGCAAGTTTAAGACTTATGGACTTCAACTCCCAGAATTCCTGAGCTAACATGACTGGAGGAGGAATTATGGGTGTTGAAGTCCACAAGTCTTAAAGCTGCCAAGTTTGAAGACCCCTGGAATAACAGAATAACAGAGTTGGAAGGGACCTTGGAGGTCTTCTAGTCCAAACCCCTGCTTAGGCAGGAAACCCTATACCACTTCAGACAAATGGTTATCCAACATCTTTTTTAAAAATTCCAGTGTTGGATCATTCACAACTTCTGGAGGCAAATTGTTCCACTGATTAATTGTTCTAACTGTCAGGAAATTTCTCCTTAGTTCTAAGTTGCTTCTCTCCTTGATTAGTTTCCACCCATTGCTTCTTGTCCTCCCCTCAGGTGCTTTGGAGAATAGCTTGATTCCCTCTTCTTTGTGGCAGCCCCTGAGATATTGGAACACTGCTATCGTGTCTCCCCTAGTCCTTCTTTTCATTAAACTAGACATACCCAGTTCCTGCAACCATTCTTCATATGTTTTAGCCTCCAGTCCCCTAATCATCTTTGTTGCTCTTATCTGCACTCTTTCTAGAGTCTCAACATCTTTTTCACATCATGGTGACCAAGACTGAATGCAGTATTCCAAGTGTGGCCTTACCACTTCACGTGATTTTGATTCTATCCCTCTTGATTCTACTCGTTTATGCAGCCTAGGACTGTGTTGGCTTTTTTGGCAACTGCTGCACACTGCTGGCTCATATTTAAATGGTTGTCCACTAGGACTCTGAGATCCCTCTCACAGTCACCACTATTGAGCAAGGTACCACATATACTGTACCTGTGCATTTTGTTTTTCTTGCCTAAATGTAGAACCTTACTTTTTTTCATCATTGAATTTCATTTTGTTAGATAGCGCTCTGTTGTTCCAAAGGGTCTGAATACTTATGCCAATGTGATAGTTCAGTTTTTTTTCTTTTTTAAATAAATTTACAGACATTTCTAAAATTCTGTTTTTACTTTGTCATTTTGGGGTGTTGAGTGTAGATTAATGAGAAAAAATGAATTTCAACAACTGTGGAATCAGGCTGCAGCATAACAAAATTGACAAAAGTGAAGGGGGTCTGAATACTTTCAGAATGCACTGTATGTATGTATTGGCAAGTCCACTACCAAGTACAACAACACTATAGCTACTCCTCGACTTACAACAGGTTGCTTAGCAAATGAAAAAACTACTTATGACCTGGATTAAAAGTTCGGCACAGCTACTTATTGTATGACAAAAGTAAAGTTAATGTTGATTTTAATAACCATTATGTTAGATGTGCCATATTAAGTTTGGAATAAATATAAAACAAGGCTCTCTACAAAGCTGCCTCTCTGGGTGTCGCCGCAGGAAGCTTTATTAGAAAAGAAATTGTGGCAAAGCCAGATTGGTTGACGTATGGTAAAATTTTATCTTTCAATTCTGGTGACCCAATACTAAAGCTGAGGGAAGAACTTGAATCAGAAGGTTATGCTTGCCATTGGTTTACTTATGAGCAATTGAAAGAAAGGTTTAAATTGGATAAAAAGTGCTTGGGTTTTGACTTTGTTAAAAATGAATTGGAACTTTCATTATGTGGCAACAATGAACATATTATTGCTAAGATTTATAAAATGTTATTGAAACTGAACTTTGAAAATGAACATGCAAAACATTGTATGATTCAGTGGGCAAGGAATTTTGGATATAATGTGATGCTTGAACAATGGGAAAATATGTGGACAAAGGGTTTAAAATTTACATTGTTATAATTTAAAAGAGAATTTTTATAAGATGATATATCACTGGTATTTAACACCAGATAAGCTATATAAGATGCATAAAGGCATGTCAAATGAATGTTGGAAGTGTAAAAATAAAGAAGGGACTTTTTATCATCTATGGTGGACATATGATAAAGGAAAAAAATAAAAATTGGATTATGATTCATACTCCAATACAAAAATCCTGAAAATGCGAGATAGAAATGAAACCAGATTTTTTCCTTTTGGAACTAATGGAAAAGAACTGGATAAAAAATTTGGAACTTTGTTGCTACACATGTTGACAGCAGCAAGACAATAGTATGCACAAAAATGGAAAGACACTTTGATATCTACCATGGAAGAATGGATGCAGAAGTCGATTGAGTTGACTGAAATGGCAAAACACTACTCTGATTAAAGAAAACAACAAAAGTAGTTTTCTTTCCACATGGAAACCGCTTCTGATTTTCCTGCTTGATGTGGAAAAGAATGTAACTTTGACTTTGGGTTTTATAGATTGATTGATCTTTATAGAAATTACTTGTTCATATTATTATGGAAAAACAAAAAGCCGTGTTTTGATGCTAATGCCTGATTCTACTGCAACAGTCAGAAGTCAAAGCTTCTTTTTCTTTTCTTTTCCCTACCTTTCCTCAATTCTCTTTCCCCTCCCTCCTTACTGCTCTTTTATTTACTTTTGTATTTTGAATTTTATAATACTTTATAATTATAACTTAATAAAAAAAAATTTTGGAAAAAAGTTCTGCACCCCACCCCTGGTAACATTAGTACATTTTGGGCGTTCAATAACCAGTCCACATTTACAGTCATTTGCAGTGTCCCACAGTCATGTGATGTTTACTTTTTCTGCTTCCGGCAAAAAAAAAAGACCCATAGCAAACAATGGATTTGCTTTACAACTGCCTTGTTCAGATAACCACCACAAAAAAGGTCATAAAATTGGATTTGGTCATGTGGTGATCTGCTTTATGATCATCATGACTTACAGCCGAAATTATGGGCTCAATTATGGTGGTAAGCTGAGGACTACCTGTATACAAAATTGACTATTAGCTTGCTGGAGATAGTACTTTATAGATGGGTGTTCTGGAGCCTCTTTTCTCAGAGCAATCACAAGTACCATTAAGAAATTAAGGAATTATGATTCTAAGAGTGAACAAGTATGTGTCCCAAAATTCACCCTTGCCCGACACCTGTGGATTTTTACTTTTTCTTTTGATGTTGCAACAATCACATTTGACAACTGGTTTTCAAACAAGTCTTCAGTCTTTAGATTCCCAGCAGCTCCAGGCAAGGGAGGAAAACTGGACAACCCAAGCTCAAAGCTTGGAGATGGTGGCTTTGGAGATGGTGGAGACTGTGTTTGTCCTCTCTGAAAGTGAAGCATAGGGTACGAAAGCGGGGCAACATCAATCCTCAAGGAAAAGGGCACAAACTGTTAGAAAACAGCCAAAATCTAAAGAAACACAACTGTATAACCTCATGCTCAAGCAGTCATGAATGAGGTACATCATCCAACTTTCTATTTATGAAAAACATTTCTTTCCTGCCAACAGGCTATGCCTCTGTAGATGATATAATTTTAAATTTATCATTTACAATTTAGAATGCAATACAATGTATTTTAAACATTGGTCGTACATAGTGGACTAATAACTCCACCCACCCACTCAGCCATCTATCTATTAATCCTCCAATTTCTAGCCTGCCCAACTCAAAAAATGATTTTAAGGCCGTCTTGAAGGCAGAAGACTGGGAGGGGAGCTTATCTCCAGGGGATGTTGTCCCAGAGGGCAGATAATGCAACAAAGAAAGCTCTTTACCATCATATCATTTGAAGAAGCCTAGGTTAATATTTTTTTTCCAGTTCCTACTTTAAGTAGTAAAAAGTTACTGCAGATTTTCTGGGCACACCTTGAGAATTTTATGCATGAAAAGCAACCACCCAGAGAGATGGAAAGATTCAATACTATCCACTTGGGAGAAATGGTTGGTGAAATTGACAGATCTTGCTGAGATGGGTAAATTAACGTCTTTGTTTACAGAAAATACACCATCTATATTTATTGGTGACTGGAAATCTCTTATGGACTTTTTGTGTAAAACTGAAACAAATGAACTTGTAATTTATGGCTTTGACGATTAGACAGGACAGATTATAGAAAGAAGAGCATTATGATGTAACTTTAGAGAGGTTAAAATATAATGGTACTTGTATTATAACTGCTGTGAACAATATCAGAAGCCACTTCTTTGTATGTATTTTCTTTCTTTTCTATTTTTCTTCAACCTTTTCTTTTCTTGCACTTTTTGCTTTCTCTTCACTTTTTTTCTTCTTTACTTTATATCAGCTTGGTATTAGTTTTTATCTTCTTTTTTAAAAGTTAGAATTTCCAACCATTAAGTGCCATTAAAATGTTTCTTCTCCTTACCAATATGACATTAAAATGTTTCTTCTCCTTACCAATATGACCAAAATATGAAACAAATATAGCATTAAATGCAAGCATATCTATGTTCTGTGGGAAAAATGGAAAGGCACATTCAAGTCTTCAAACAAAACATTATGCCACTTAAAAGCATGAGTAAAAAGAGGTGGAAATTATAGTTGGTAGGGAAAGTATAAGAACACAGTTAGTTAAAAAACCTAGGAGTGTGTGGGAAAGCATTGAGAGCTAAAATGAGAATCAGTTATTTTGTTATGGGAGATTTTTTTCCGATGTTTTGTAGAACAGATTCATTTTTGGACAGCAAAGGAATTCAAATAGAGGAGATTTTTGTAAAATTGCTTTAACAACTTGAACATCTGATGGAAATTTGAGTCAGCATCAACCTTGGCATTTACCTCATGACAATTTGGAGTTATTTAGATGTTTTTATTATTTAGTTGCTGTATATCATCACTTCAAATCATTCCACATTGAGGTTGTGTTAGTGAAGAATCTTCTCAAGTGAACATCTAGACATCACATACTCACCGTGAACTTGTCATCTCTCTTTTTTCGATAGCCATAAGAGTTTTTTCTGGAAGGACAGAAGTCATCATTATTATTGCTGATTAAATAAGTTTGTTATAGAAATAGCCAATACATCTTAGTATGTAAAAGTAAAAAGTTGAGGCTGTAATGTTACTGTCTTATTCTACTGCACTAAAGAGTCAGAAGTCAATGTTTTTTTCTTTTCTTTTTTCCCTTTTACACTATGCTTCTTTCTCTCCCCATTGTCCCACTATCTTCACTTTCTTTTGTATTTTATATCTTGATAAACTTAATAACATTATTATAAAAAGTCATCATATTTAGTAATTTACTTTTCATTTTCATAGATAATTTAAATGTGATTGTATTATTACACCGAGAAAGGCTTTGTGGTGTAGTTGTCAGAACTTTCAATTAGGTCCAAGAGGCAGGATCAAGACTCTTTTCCCAGGTATGTGAACTGTGATCTTGGGCAAATCACTATCACTCAGTCTATTGTAACCTACCTCTCAGGGTTGTTAGGAGAAAAAAACTGGAGATGTAGAAAATGAAGGACCTTGTATCATGTCATGATTTTCCAAGAGGAGGAGTTAAACATGTCAAGGATAATACCAAATGAATATTGCTATCAATTTTCAAACTTATAGAAAAGCATATTTGTAGCTCAGGGTTGAACTGTGGGGTCCTTGGTACTCCTTGAGTTCAGTTGTTTTCTTGCAGACATTTTATTACCATCAGTGCTAGTAGGGAGTGGTGTTTGCTTTCATTTTATATTCTAGTGGCTTCCCCAGCAGTGTTGGCGGGAGTGGTCTTGGTGGTTCCTTGATTGGGCTGTTGTTTACTGTTAGCTTGTTTGACAGTTCCTTGATTAGGGTATTGTTTGCTTCTTGATTGTTGGTCTAATAATAATCTTGGTGTTAATCTCTGCTCATCTGTGTGTTGATTGCTGAGCAGGAGGTGTTTTGGTCTTTTTGTTTCCTTTATTTTTGATTGTCTCTTTTGAAATGGTATGTAGATCTTTATGTCTATGTTTCTATTGATGGGTGATTTGTCAGCATGCCAGACTTCCAGGAATTCTCTAGCATTTTGGGACTGTCAAGAGTTCCAGAAAAACCCAACTCCAATTAAAAACTCAGAGACAGGCATTTTCTCAAAGTTTCCTTTTATTAGAGTAGGTATACTGGCACATCTGGGAAAACCCAAATCTGAGAGTTCTGGGTTTTCCCTTAGTAATTAAAAAGTCAAAATCCAACCCCTGCACCCATCAGTCCATCACATGGTCCAATCACCAACCGTCCCAACTTGAGACATCCCTTCAACCACTCCTCCTCCAGGTGCAGGAATACAGGTGAAACTCAAAAAATTAGAATATCGTGCAAAAGTTCATTTATTTCAGTAATGCAACTTAAAAGGTGAAACTAATATATGAGGTAGACTCATTACATGCAAAGCAAGATAGTTCAAGCCGTGATGTGTCATAATTGAGATGATTATGGCTTACAGCTGATGAAAACCCCAAATCCACCATCTCAGAAAATTAGAATATTGTGAAAAGGTTCAATATGATAGGCTCAGAGTGTCCTACTCTAATCAGCTAATTAAGCCATAACACCTGCAAAGGGTTCCTGAGCCTTTAAATGGTCTCTCAGTCTGGTTCAGTAGGAATCACAATCATGGGAAAGACTGCTGACCGGACAGTTGTGCAGAAAACCATCATGGACACCCTCCATAAGGAGGGAAAGCCTCAAGAGGTAATTGCAAAAGAAGTGCTGTATCAAAGCACATTAATAGAAAGTTATGTGGAAGGGAAAAGTGTGGAAGAAAAAGGTGCACAAGCAGCAGGGATGACCGCAGCCTGGAGAGGATTGTCAGGAAAAGGCCATTCAAAAGTGTTGGGGACTTTCACAAGGAGTGGACTGAGGCTGGAATCAGTGCATCAAGAGCCACCACACACAGACGGATCCTGGACATGGGCTTCAAATGTTGTATTCCTCTTGTCAAGCTGCTCCTGAACAACAAATGTCAGAAGAGTCTTACCTGGGCTAAAGAAAAACAGAACTGGTCTGTTGCTCAGTGATCCAAAGTCCTCTTTTCTTTTTTTAAAAGCAAACTTTATTGATTATACAACTAAAATAACAAACAAACACATACACAACATAAAGAAAAAAAAGGAAAAGAAAAAGAATAAAAACAAACAATTCCATTATCAACAGTCTGTGGTTCCTTATTTGTTATTATTGGTGTCATATTTACAAATAAGTCTTATTGCGAATGTGTAATTACTACTTCTATTACAATTTAACAATATTTACTAATATATTTTCTATTTTTGTTCTATCCAATCATACCAACATTGCCAGCTTTTATAATGTTCTGATGATTCTTTATCCTTAAGTGCTAGGGTTAATTAATCCATCTCTGCACAGGCTGTTATTTTCTGAATGATCATTTCCTCTGTTGGAATGTCAGCTTGTTTCCAACACTGTGCGAAGGCTAATCTGGCTGCAGTAAGAATGTGCAATATTATATATTTAGCTTTTTTAGAAAGTTGTCTATTCAATATCCCTAATAGGAAGAATTCTGGTTTTAATTCAATTTGCTCCATCGTTATTTCCTCTAACCATTTTTTAATTCTATGCCAGTATCTTTGGGTTTCAGTGCAGGACCACCACATATGAAAGAATGTTCCGTGTTTCTTTTTACATTTCCAGCAATTCGGATTCATGTTAGGTGACATCTTTGCTATTCTCGAAGGGGAGAGGTACCATCTATAAAACATTTTATAGGCATTTTCTTTATATGTTGCTGATTTTGTGATTTTATTGTTCCTGATCCAGACCTTTTCCCATTCTGATGTGATGTTACGTCCTGTTTCTACTCCAAGCTATCATGTTGTCTTTGACTACTTCCTCTTCTAATTCTGTCTCTAATAGATAATTATAGAATTTGGTTATATTTTTTTAATCTGGACCTAATAAGATTTTATCTAGTTGTTGTAGCTTACCGTAAATTCCGAAATTTTTCTTATCCTGAATATATCTATTTTGAATTTGCAGGTAAGCCCACCGGTCTACTCGTAGCCCTTGTTCTTGGAGATCCTGCCAAGATTTTAAAGTTCCTTGCGCATCTAGAAGGTCTTTGTATTTTATCATCTTGTTAAGATCCAAATTATTTGGATGTATCATCGCCTCCATCGTTGAGATCCAAATTGGGATTTTTAGATAATTTTTTTTTATTCCAATTAGCCAATAAAGAGTCTCTAGTTATATGTCTGTGGAAATAATTCTGTTTGGTTTTTCTGGTGTCCCATAAAAATGCATGCCACCTCCTCTGAAAGTCGTGGCCTTCTAGAAATAGGATTCTTTTATTCGACAAGTTTACCCACTCTTTCAACCAAAGTAAGGAGGCTGTGCTATAGTATGTTCCCAATTTGGGAGTGCCATACCCCCCCTGCTCTTTATATCTTGCATTGCCTTTGGATTTATCCTCGGTTTTTTGCCTTGCCAAATAAATTTGGTGGTTATCCTATTCAGTTCCACAAAATAATTTTTATGTATTTTTATTGGTATTGTTTGGAATAGATAGATAAATTTAGGAAGAATGTTCATTTTAACCTAATAGGGAGATTTGCAATTTAACCCATAGCTCTAAGTCTTTTTTGACTTGTAATAATTTACTATAATTATTTTCCATTAGGGTTTTGCAATGAGCTGTCAGCCAAATTCCTAAGTATTTAATTTTTTTTTACCACTTGTAGTCCCATTATCCTTTCCAGTTTTAATTTCTGTTTTTCTGTTAGATTTTTAGTTATTAATTTCATTTTTTTCCCTATTAATTTTAAGTCCTGCAACTTTCCCAAATTGATCTAACTCTTTCAGTAGTTCTTGACCTGTTTTAATTGGTTCCTCTATTAAAAAAACCATATCATCCGCAAATGACTGCAGTTTGTATTCTTTCTTAATTTTTAGCCCCTTTATTCCTGGGTTCTGTCTAACTCGTGTAAGCAATGTTTCCAAAGTTAATATGAAGAGCAGGGGAGATAATGGGCACCCCTACCTAACTCCTTTCTCTATTTTTATTGAGCGCGTATACTCTCCGTTAATTATAATATTCGCCTTTTGTGAGTCGTAAATTGTAGTCACGATGTTTTCTAATTTAGTGCCTAAATTCATATTGTAAATTTGTTGAATTAGAAATTGCCAATTTAGGTTGTCAAAGGCCTTCTGTGCATCCAAGAATACAAGGGCTATTTGTTTTTCTGGATGGGCTTCGTAGTATTTCAAGACATTTAACACTATTCTTAAATTGTTCCTAATTTGTCTATTGGGAAGAAATCCGTTTTGATCTTTATGTATATATTCATTATTATTTTTAGTCTATTTGCTATAATTGTAGTAAATATTTTATAATCAGTATTTAACAGAGAGATTGGTCTATAATTTTGTATGAGTTGTGAATCTGAGTCTTCTTTCGGGATCAACGAGATCAGTGTCTCCTTCCATGAATCCGGTATTCTAGCTGCAAGTAGAACCTCATTATATACTTCCACCATGAGAGGTCCTATTTCTTCTCCTATTTTCTTCTTTTTTTTAAATAATTTTTTTATTAATTTTCCAAATTTTAAAAAACATAAAACAAAACTTTATACATTGTTATCAACATCAAGACATCTTTTCCATTTCCTCACATTTTTCACTATATGTATTTACTTATTCCTTTACCATTACATCTTACTCTTACTATAAATCAATATCTTTTATCCTTACATCTCAATCTTCTCCATGGTATATTTACATATTTACATATTCCCTCATTCTTTTCCTAATTGCCATTTTATTTTCTTTTTATTTCTAAACCACTCATACCAGGCCCTATAATAAATTGAATCTTCTCTGTCTTTTATTTTCATTGTTAGCCTGTCCATCTCTATACAATCTATTATTTTTTTAATAACCATGACTTCTGGTGGAACCCTTTTTTCCTTCCAGAGTTGTGCGTACAAAATCCTTGCAGCTGTTAATATATGTAACATAATATATCTATCTG